TCAAGAAACTGCAGCTTTAACATGATTTATCATCCAAAACTGGCTCCCACAGGAAATATCGCTTGGATTAGATCAAGCGATATCTACACTGTAGATATCGCTGCAATGAAATTACATCACAATGCTTTGCAGACCATTGTGACGTCACTGGTTACCATGACGTCACAATCAAATGACATCACTTATGGCTCTGCTTCTGAAACTGTTAGCAGTACTTTTTACACTTAAGACACTGCTAATTACTGTCTACAAATTGAAAAAGTTGGAAGAATGATGTTGGATGATAAATCAAATCTCACCCTCGTGTCTTTTGATATCAAATATATCAACACTCGTTGATAAAAGTGGCAAAAATCCTCGGCAAGCCTCGGAATTTTTCCATTTTTATCAACTCGTGTTGATATATTTGATAACAAAAGACACTCGGGTGAGATTCTCTATATCACACAGTTAGAATTGCTATTGAGATATTTCTAACTATAAACTCATTTCCATAGAGATAATTTCCTGTGTACGCCTTATGCAGAGTCGACCCACCTTAACAGACGACTGTTGATCAAAAATACTATGAAACACTGTGTTTAGTGCTTCTTAACGACAAATTAATTTCCCTGGGGGGAAGGCTCAGCATGACCGATCCTACAAACATGGTCAGGACGGGACGGAGTATATTCCATTCTCGAATGTATTTATTTGATTAGTAGAAGAACAATTGCATTAACTTTCATTAATCACTTTTCCTCTATCACTGTGCTCGTCAGGAGAAAGGGGCACTCAACCAGAGCTGTGTAAGGAAAGGTACTGATCGAAGGAAGGATGTTTGTGTGTTGTTTAACGCCGCTTTCTGCAATATTCCAGCTACATGACGGCGGTCTGTAAATAATCGAGTCTGGACCGGACAATCTAGTGATTTATATCACGATCATCGATCTACGTTTATTAGGATACGATGACATCCATCATCCAAATCAGCGAGTCTGGCCACCCGATCCCGTTAGTCGCCTTTTTCGCCTTTTTCGAGAAGCATTGTCGCCTTTTACGGCAGTTTTACCTAATCTTGACGTGTCGACGACGACGATGATGATAATGATGATGATGATGAGGAGGAGGAGGAGGAGGAGGAGGAGGCGACGTTAAACCCGCACCACCTTGTCAGTTTAAAGACCCAACTACAAGATAAAGCAATCCCAAGGTGTTTCTGATCGATGATATTCCACATGCTACTGCTGTTTATTTGTTAATCAGGATACGATGACATTCATCATCCAAATCAGAGAGTCTGGCCATTCGATCCGTTAGTCGCCTCTTACGACAAGCAGAGTCGCCTTTTACGGCAAGCATGGGTTGCTGAAGAGCTATTCTACCCCGGATCTTCACGGGTATGAGGATATTGTCGAACAAGTGAGTTAGTGAGTTGGGTTAAACTGCGCTTTGAAAGTATTTAAGTTACGGTTTAGGTGGAAGCCACGAGCATTCGTATGGTGCCGATAAAGCAAGAAGAGTGACCAGGGCGAGTCGAGGTTTCAAATCGAACACACCATCTTGGGATCCCGTCTAGGGGACGCAACTCTGCATGCTGAATTGTGCGTCTTAAACTGCCGAGTCGCCATGCCAATCATAAAACAAATGTATGTGTTAGGGCTGGGACGGGTAACTCGGGTACCCGGGTCGGGTGGGTACTGAGTAGGACCCGGGTACCCACAGGACTACCCGGACTCTTGGTTAGTCACGTGATATATTGTTTAATGAAAAAATGATCTAAAACTCTATGGTTACACTACAAGCCACTCATGTTCGCATTTCTTTCTGACTATGCACCATTCCTTCTGATTTTTTCATATGGTTGAATAAAGATATAACTTAATTCAGCTAGAGAATATGAATGACCAGATTGTTTAATACATGTATCTAAATACGTGTCGCCAGGGCTATGCTAAAAATGTTCCCATTCGGACATTCAATGAGATTAAAATCCCCACCGAGTAACTGGCACGCCTAAGGGGCATAACTCTGCACAGCAGCATTGTAGACGACTTGGTCAATGCGTCTGGGTGAAGAGCAATCTCATTAAAATCAGATCTTAGTTTTTGCTATCGCTAAACAAAGATCTGAGGACATCCCATTACGGGTCACGTCAGAACGACCTTTCGCGAACTTTGACCGACCAATGAAATGACTGACAAGAAATCGATATTAGCCAAAAAGAAGGCAGCTTTCTCGAGCTTTACGACACTAGTTTCAAACTGGCGACTACGCTTCGAGACATATTTTTACGTATTCTCGATTAAAAAAATTTAAACTGATAAATAGAACATTCTGGAATGGCTTATAGATGGCCTAGATTGTATGGATATAATCATAAAACCAATAAATGTCGTTCGGATGTTAAAATATTTCGTGGTTGCATGATTAGAAAACACATTCCGACTGTCACGTTCATGATCTGGTAATATAAGCGACGCTCTGATTGGTTGGATGAAAGGTCGTTCTGACGTGACCCTTAATGTGGTGTCCTCAGATCTTTGTTTAGCGATAGTGACAACTAAGATCTGGTTTTAATGAGATTGGGGTGAACAGCTTTTTTGACAAGTAGGATGTGGGGTATGTGGGATGGGCTGTGTTGGTGAACAGCTGCTTTGAAAAGTAGGGTGTGGGGTGTAGGGTGCGTGGTGTGGGGTGTAGGGCGGGATGTGCGTTGGTACACAGCTTTTTTTGTAAACGTTGGGTGTGGGCTGTAGGGTATGGGCTGTTTGGGGTGGGCAGGGATTTGGACTGTTTTTGTTTTATAAAAAAGATATACTGATATTAAAAACAAATACTAGATAAATGCACAACATTTTGTGTTGTAAGCCAAATATCAGTCGAATATGTTATAATTTTGTTCATTACGTCACCAAATGTTTTTTATACGTTGTGCATGCTGAGCATGCTTCAATGTGCAGGTGAATCCCCGAGCAGGTATCAACACTGGAATCTGGAAAGGACAGCCAAAGTTGTACATCCAATTGATTTGCCGACGCATTAGATTTAACCCCAGTTACTTCATGCTTCAAGTTTCTCTAATAATGCATCTAATACTGTCTCCAGTGAACAAATAACGACAGGTACTTACGGCGACACTAAACTCCCTGGTCTCACAGCTCATGTACGCTGTTTCCTAATTTAATCAACAACGAGAACTGATCGCATTCAGCCTCGACTTACATTTCCAGAGAGGTGTTAACGAACGAATCAGTTATGGAGAACAAGAGTGCGGGTGACTAATGGGAAACAGAATTACTTGAGTGAGTGAGTGAGTTTGGTTTAACGGCGCTTTTAACAGTATTCCAGTTATATCACGGCATGTCAGCTTAGCCCAAGAAATGCAGGTCTCAGACGTTTACCACTTCGGTGAAACCAACGAGCACGCGTATGGTGCTGACAAACCTAGAAACATAATCGGGGCGAACCGGGATTCAAACCCACAATCATAGGTTTCTGACGTGCCCAAGGGACGCAACTCTGCACAGCGAATCGCGGCGCCTTAGACGACTGGGCCATCCGTGCCCCCCAGAATTACTTGAAAAAGTTGTCCGATTAAACTACACAAATTGAGACACGAATCTTTTAAAGAAAAGATATATATGAACTGAAGAAGTATCCTCGGAACATTTTACGGCGGATATTTGGTTGATGGCGTGTCAACGTACACCGACGTCGTGAATCGTTGCTCACAATATCGATAACTGGGTTGTCTGGTCCAGAATCGATAACTTACAGGCCGCCGTCGTATAGCTAGAATAGGTGGAGTAAAACAACAAGGAAACCGTCACCTATGATCGTGGGTTCGAATCCCAGATTCGTCCAATAAAGGTCCTTGGATGGCAGTCGCATACCCATGCCCCCTTGGGTTCCAACAAAGTGGTAAATATCTGAGACCTGCATCATTTCCAGTTATCCTCCCATATCAGGCTGACACGCCTTGATAACAAAAAACAGGCAAAACCCCGAAGTTTGTTTGTTTGTTGTTTAACGCCGCACTCAGCAATATTCCAGCTATATGACGGCGGTCTGTAAATAATCGAGTGTGGACCAGACAATCCAGTGATTGACAACATGAACATCGATCTATGCAGTTTGGATACGGTGACATGCATCAACCAAGTCAGCGAGCCTGACCACCCGATCCCGTTAAGTCGTAACCTACGACAAGCATGGGTTCTATTCTACCCTGGATCTTCACTGGTCCCAAAGTATTCAGTTATTAGTATTTATACTCACCGACAAAAGAAACTCGAATGCCATACATGTTGGTTAATATATGAATAATTACTCATATTCAAGAGATACCCGATCCCGTTAGTCGCCTTTTATTACAATCATAGTCGCCTTTTACGGCTAGCATTGGTTGCTGATTTTCAGGGGTAGGTAGCAGTGATTATGTTTTTACTTTTGACACACCGTGATATTACTGAAATATTGGTCAAAGCGGCGTTAAATCAAACTCACGCAAGATGAACTGTACTATTCCTAAAATAGATACTTGGTGCTTACTTTGTCTTTGTAAATGTTTGGGACACAAAAATTCCGTTTTCTTCGCCGAAGTCGTCTTCTAATTTGAAGCCACTTACTCGTCATTGTTTATAGCTATACATGTATTTCTTATCTGTATGTAACCACTGAACTAAACACGCTATGATTGAATACATGCCTGGCTTGTTGTGTTGGAATATACATACTGTCTGGTAAGGTTCACTCTGATGTGGGAATATCCTTGTAATATAAATGGTTTAATACTTGATGTTATTTAATAGTGATTCAAACGTCTTACAATTAGTTTCACACTGCGTTCAACAGTGGGGGTATTTAAATTAAATCCGTCTCTCCTTTTTTTTATTGACATTTTAAATGCGTGATACGACAATGCGACAACTCTAAACTGTACACCCGGGATCTTAATGAATGTGTAAGTTTAAACCGAAATCGGAGAGAGCTTGTTATTGCCACAGCAAACCCTGGCA